GCCAGCTTCGTGACGCATAGTACGGTGGGCTTCTTTCCTTCCGGGGTGCCCTTCTTGGACTGGGCATGAGCTTTTGTTTCATGGCTGTGACTGTGACGCCTGCGCAATACTTCTCGAGGAAGCGGGGGCTAGCCAATGGAATCGTCTATGCTGGTGGCGGCTTCGGGGCCGCCGTGCTGAGCATCGCAACCAACGCCATGATTGAACGGTATGGTGTTGAGTGGGCGTTCCGAATCATTGGCATTGTATGTTTCTCAACGGGATTCCCGGCGGCATACATGATCAAGGAGCGCATTCCCATCCAGACCTCTGGCTTCATTGACTGGTGAGTTGAGTATACGATAGGTGTGGACAGGCCACGGGAAGCTGACCCGAAGCAGGAAGCTTTTCCGACAGGGAAGCTTTAACATCATTTTCGTCGCTGGCGCAATTGGTGTCTTCCCACTCCTCGTTCCGCCTTTCTTTATCCCGTTGTACGCACGCTCAATGGGATTAAGCACGAGCACCGGAGCAGCCTTGCTGGCCGGCTACAACTTTTCGTCAGCAATTGGCCGGATTATTAGCGGTCACTTATGTGATATTCTGGGTCCCTTGAATACCCTGTTCGCCTTCCTCGCCATCAACTCCCTGACCATGATTGCGCTCTGGCCAGCCTCAACGACGCTTGCTCCGTTGGCTGTATTTGCCGTCATGAATGGTTTGACAAACGGCGGGTTTTTCGCGTCAATGCCAACGTGCATTGGCAACATCTTCGGTTCGGCCCGTGTGTCGACTGCCATGGGCATGATCGTCACGGGGTGGGTCGGAGGCTATCTTTTTGTGAGTCCTTGACGAACAGGGCCAGGACGATTTCCATGCTGATTATACGTTCTCAGGGTTCTCCCATTGCAGGGTACCTGCTCGACGCGTATGGCGGCGCAGACGAGGGCTTGAAGGCGTACCGCCCTGCTATGTTCTATGCCGGATCAGTGTCGTTGGTGGCCACAAGTTTGATCCTGTTGATGCGACTACGTATCAACAAGAAGCCGTGGGCCAAGGTATAAGCGATGAGGGTGTTGCAGCCGCGAGACTGATAGTGCAGGAAGTTGAAACGCTCCTAGACTTTCAAGACCCCAGCGTCAATGTCGGAGCAAGATTGCCAACCTCAGCCCGAGCAAGGGCTCGTCGCACGCCACCGGGGGACCCGCGTGGCTGATGCTCTACAGGGCTCCATGCGTGGCCTGAAGGGGTGACCGCTGATCGATCGATAAGCGAATAGAAAGCTGGCTAGGATCTGATTACATGTTGAGGATCGGAATGATGAAATAGCGGTGGTCAATGACAGACTTGACCCGCCTGCACAAGCGAGAGAGCTGAAGTATTATGAGGTATAGACAATTAGACTAGAAGGGGATAGAAAAAAGCAAAACACTGTAATATCAATTTGATGCCAGCGTTTGCTTTTGCTTTTGCTGACGAGCTGAGTGCTCGGTTGACACTAGACGCGCCAGTCTCGTGGCACGGACAGCCACGTGGACATCCGCCGTGTGGAAAAAGCAACACGTCTGTTGCTAGTTGAAGGATGGCTCGTTGGGATTGTCCAAGGAACAAGTCGATCACGGTTTGCATGCAGTTGAGGATTGTGAGTCGCTGCCACCAGATGAGTGAAGCTGGCCCGGCCGATGTGGTTACAACAGAAATCCAATAATGCGGGCCGAGCCGATTGTGCCTGATCTAAGCAGGATCGATCGATAGGGGTGAGAAATGCAGCGGAGGATACATCGAATAATGCATTAAAGTGGCTGATGGAGGGCCTGCCAGAGTTCCTCGTGTGGTTCAGGACGTGGGTGCAGTGATGGAAGAAGGATGGCCAAGGCTTCCAGAGTCAACGACGGCAGGAGGCGATCGCTCAGGCCCCGCTTAGTGTGATATCTCCTCAAGGCGAACCATTCCGATAATGGCATAGTTACACCTGCTCATCAGCCCATGGACATATAACGTCGCCACGTGGGGGATGGACCTGCTCCCTGAAACGCCCCGCGAACCCCGCTCAACCCCCCAATGGGCCAATGAACGTCACCAACTTAGCAACTGGCAAGGCCAACCGGCGCAAGCCAAGCGGCCCCCGGCCTGGAGCTGCCCCAAGCTGCAACCCTCCCAAGAACGATAGCTCAAGCCCAGTCGTACGATTTCGACTTCTAGGCCCTGGCTTGTCCTATCCTATCCAGTCCACGCACAGCTGAAGGGCGACCGTCGGCTGTTGGCTCCTCTTCATCGTCCTCCACTTCTGGTCGGCACCAGCATCGAAACCGCGACCATCATGTTCGGCGGTGTTCTCATCCTCATCATCACGGGCACCATCTCCAGCCTGCTGCTGGCCAGATCCCCTTTCATGATGCCCTACACACCAGTGACGACCAGCAAGCCGTGGGCAGATGGGCCCATGGCTCTGATCATTACGCCGCAGTTCGAGACGAAAAAGGTATGTCGTGCCAATTGTTGCCCCTCCGCGCGATCCGGCCCATTGCACCGAGGCAGAATCGCAGAGCTGACGCGTGATTGCACATCTTTCAGACCGATCTCTTCACGACCGGTGCAACCCACATGGCGCTGCTGCACAATTCAATCCTACGAGGCTACAATTCCATCTATCATCAAGCACCACATGTGCAAGAAGACGACAAGGAGGACTTTATCGGCTATGCTTTGACGTGGTACAAGTTCGTCAAGTCGCACCACGACGACGAGGAGGAGGTGCTCTTTACCAAGGTCGAGGAGCTTCTGGGCGACAAGACTGTCTTCGACAAGACACACAAGGAACATGGTATGCGCGGCGCCAAGTCGTCCCTCGCTGATAGTCGGCCGACAATGGCTAACCATGACGTGCAGAGGCGTTCCTCAAAGGCCTTGCTGAATTCAATGCCTACCTCTCGACCCTCCAAGAGCCATCGCACTTCTCCGCCGCTGAGCTCCGCCGCATCATGTCTACCTTCCAAACCGCCTTTGAAGACCACTTCCACTCCGAGATTGATACAATTGCCGCCCTCGCCAACCACCCTAGGGCGCCACGCGAGGGTACGTCCGAGGCAGCCGTCGCAAGCGCGGCCTTCAAGAGCTGGGGCAAGAACACAGTCACCAAGGCTGGCACAACTGACGTCGTGCCCTTTTTCCTCATGAACCTCGACCGCGGCGCCGAGGGTGGCATGTGGGCGCACTGGCCGCCCATTCCCGCACCCATCAAATGGGGATTAGTTAACATTGCCGGGTCTTGGTACTCTGGCCGCTGGAGGTTCACGAGCTGCGATGCCAATGGCAGGCCGAGGGAGCTCTATGCCCTTCGGTTCCCGGAACTGACGCATTAAAGACACGAGCGACGAGTGTTCTACGGATGATCTACGACGGGATCCTGGCCGGGCTCACCAGGGTGGTGTTTTTTTCATTTCCATTTGGAGCTTGGACGGTTACTTTGATACCAGTGTGTACAACAGCATGTTTTTCAATGAAATTCAAACGCGCGGGGGGATGTTGTTTGTCCCCCCCTCCCCCCCAAGATGCTCCGCTCCTGAATCTCCTGCGGTCGAGGATAACGCCTTGCTCCTCAGGTGGAACACGTCGAGTCATAGTGCGACGTTCGAGCTCGAGCGTCGGATGCTTTTTCCTGGCAGAAGCAATTTTTCGTGTTCGTCTGAACTCTGCGAGGAGAGACCAGCCACGTGCTAGGGAGTAATCCGCGTGGGCGCTTGCATGTGCCTGGTGACTGGTGTCTTCGGAGTTCGGAGCCGGCAGTCGGCCGGGCTGATGGGCTGCGCCTGCTATGGGAAGCGTGACCATGAGGGGGTGGGTGGTGGGCCTCGCTGAGCGATCTAGATATGACTAGATGTATACTGAGCCCACTTGGTCTCATCGGAAGTGCGTAGTTAGGGGCCAGCGCCTGCTAGGCCACGCTTGTGGTCCCTTGCATCATGGCTTCGTAGGGCTTCGAGATTATTCACAACCGAGGTCGCCCTCTCATCTGCACAGCCTGATAGTGATGCCAGTGCGAGCTGTCAACATTGTGCCACGTTCAGAGGCTGACGGGATTATGAGGAAGACTGCGACCCCCAAGCGACGATGTAGTCATGTAGTTTTGTAGGAAGTTCCGTCAGCTAAATTTGGCCAGCAGAGTATCTCGGTGTCAGCTCATCACCCGCCATGCCCGCATCAAGGCTCTCATACTAACCCGCCGTTTCTCCCAGCAACTACACCATCCCTCAACCACAACAAACCGTCGAACTCTCGCCCGCTGAGGTCGGCCCTGTCGACCCGCCAATCTTCTCCCAGTGGAAAATGAACGATCCGAGGTAGGCGCCGATGAAGATGCAGATAATGATGTAACCGTTATAATACATAGCGAGCCTGGGGAGTCATCAAGTCAGAAAATTCGGCCTCTTATCTTATGCAGCAAAAAGTTAAGAAGGACATGGGGCACCTACAGCATGACAAAGTATGCCACGGCAAACTGAAGCAGATGCAGCAGCGCCCTGACGGCCTGCTGGAGGAAAGAAGGGCGGAACGGTGCGGTAATCGCAACGCCGCCGGCGCCGAGGGGAGCCGCGCCTTCGCCGCTGTTCTTACCGCCAGAGGCAGAATCGTTGCTCGCAGCTGCAAAGGGGCCTGAGCGTGCGACGGCGGCGGCAGCGGCGGCGTGAGAGCGGATGAGGTAGCGGTCGTACTCCTTGCCGGCACGGCGGAGGGCCTCGAGGGACAGGACGAGGAGGACGACGCCGATGCAGGAGCCGGCAAACATGCCGGTGGACGTGATGTGCCAGGACTCGGAGATGAAGCACGAGTCGATTGTTTGCCAGTTCCAGAGCATCTGCAGTTCAGGACGGCAGGTTAGCGCTGGACGAGAACCAGAGGAAATGGTGGAGGTCGCTGACAACGGTCCTGGAAGTGTACTCACGGAGATTTTGCAACCACCCATCATAGCTGACATGTCCATTTCATCGTGGCCGCTGGTGGCCGCAGCGTCAGTACCGGCGGGCATGTCCATGCCTGTTGCTGTTGGCATGAGCATGGAGGTGATTGTTGAAGCCATGGTCATGGCACCGTGGTCCATGTTTGTGGTGCTAGCTGTTCGTGGAGGAAAACTTTCTTGAGACCAATGCTTCGTGGTATGGGAAACCAGACTGCAGACAGGACTGCGGGCGAGGCGTCGAGGTGGTAGCCTTTATATGGACGGCCAGCCAGGCCATCCTAAGTCTCAAGCTCGTCTGTTGGAAGGGTCGCGCGGCATATTCAGGATTAAATCAGCCCATGCAGGCCATCCAAACACTGCGTGGCCCATTCCGTGGTTTGGGTTTGTCCCAATTTATTAGGGGCTTTTTGTGTGCCACCCTGTTGGGAGAGGAGGGGCAGGAAGGAAGTTGCTGGGGCGCCACTATGCATGCCCCCCCAAGAGCTTGCCATGGTTCATACGAACGAATTATGTCTCTCGGGAATAGGGAGCCTCCCCCTTCACCACATGCCTGGTAATCGTGACAATATGTGACCTGATGAACAGGTCGAAACCATCAGACACGATGCAAAGCACCCTGTGGGGCCTAGCCTGTACAGCACCACTGATCGACATGGGATGTTGACAAGCCCCATGAAGGTAACATACCTCACTGGCGAAATGTTCAAATGGGGTCAGATGGTGGCGTGGGAGGGTTGGACGCCCCTCAGCCTCTCGTGATGTTTGCGAGAGTTTGAGCAAGTTTTCCTCACCGAGCAGGGCTGGCCCAGGTCCAAATGATAAGGACTGCTGGGAGGCCGAAGCTAGGCTTCAGAGTCATTGCCGAAAGTCGGATGGTAAATTAATTCCGCGTTGCTCTGGCTCTTCGAGTTGGCTACTTGCCTCTTCGAGTTGGCTACTTGCCATTCCGTTTTGCGTCCGGAGCTCGTGCAGAATGTTGCAACAGGAGCCATGCCAGCGAACGTGTCGAGCTTATCAAGACGCGGTGGGAACTACGAGCACAAACGTGCATACAAAGTGTCCTGCAGTTCCATGACTGCTTCGGGAAGTATGAAGAATGAGGCGATTCACCGTGTGGCTGCAGACAACGAGGAGGAGGTGTCCCAAGAGGTAGGCGGGCTTGAAGTTAGATGCGACATAACACTGGACATAGGTAGTCTCTTTCTCGGTGGAGGGTAATTTGTCTCGGTAAGATGGCAGATCCTCGGTAAACTCTCCGGTGTGTGGAGCTCTGTGTGCAGGAGCGTCGAGCTGCACGTCACGTCGCACGGGACCTGACCTTACCTCGTCTTCCACCAAACTCCGGCCAGAGCTCAGAGCTCCCTTCGAGCTGCCACTTCCTCAGCTGCGTGCAAACCAATCGACCCCATGTAATCAAGCAAGCTCCGAACTGCACCCGCTACCCTGCCATCAAGAGCACACTACGACCATGACGGGGGACGCCCATGGGGGCGTTCCCCGCGACACGGCCCACCATGTATAGCCGCGATAACAAGATCATGCGAAAGCTCCCTCGGAAAGGCTTCCGCCGACAACTCTACCGACACGACGAGCCCCGGCATTGGCATCACGAGTGCGCCGCATCTGCCAGCTTCGTATCGCCCCAACTTTTCGCAGTATGCCGTCTACGATGCGACCTACCCCATTTACAGCATCGATGCCCCGGCCGACCGTCGCTCCGTTGTCCTGGCAAGTCGCCATGTCCTCAAGACGGTGATCTTTGACGGCCTCCATATCGTCGATGGCGTTGACGTCCGAGCTGCCATCGTCTCGGCGTCCAATCCGAACAAGGGCGCATCGTCGGCGACGGCCGATCAGCTCTCCGTCAAGGAGGTGAAATGGCATAAGGACTCGACCATCTTCACTGTCTGTACCAATGGCAAGATCTTCTCCTACGATCTCGCGAGGATAGCCGCCGGTGGCTCCCCCATGGATTGTGTCCAGATGAGGGAGGATTCGCGCCAAGTCAATACCCTCGACATCAACCCCCATCGCCCGAGCTTGCTGCTCTCGGGCAGCCAAGATGGTTTCGTACGCTACTTTGACATCCGCGCGCCCGTTCAAAGCCGCGCTGGCGGCATGACATACCAGGCCAAAGCAGCCTTTAAATGCAATGCCGATGGCGTTCGACAGGTCCGCTGGTCGCCGAAGGAGGGCATGTATCTGGCATGTGGCACCGACGGTGGCGTGGTCTTGAAGTGGGATTTGCGAAAGCCGACCACGCCGCTGCTGCGGATCACGGCACACGAAAAAGCCTGCACGTCTATTTCGTGGCATCCTGATGGGAACCATCTGGTCAGTGGCGGCATGGATCAGAAGTGCGCCGTCTGGGACTTCTCCAAAGACGCTGACAAGCGCCAAAAGCCGAAGTGGACGATTCAAACCCCCGCCCCTGTATCTGTCGTCAGCTGGAGGCCTGGGCTGTGGTCTGCCAGTGCGCAGGGCAAGCGTGCCGCCCAGATTGCCGTGTCTTACGACGATGCCAGTCTCAAGCGTTTCGGAGTCCGCGCGGCCCATGTTTGGGATCTCGCGAGGCCTACCATCCCGTTCAAGGAGCTCAACTGGTTCAACTCGCCGCCATCAAGCCTCATGTGGCTCGACCAAGATCTTCTCTGGGCTGCTGGTGAAGACGGCAAATTTCACCAGTGCGACGTTGCCTTCGCCCCGAAGACCATGGATCGAATGACGTCCTCCAGCATGGCCTTCTCTTCATGCGGAGACGTGGCTATGTTTCTCGATGAAAGACCGCATCAGCGGCCGAGACCGACTGCGGTGCACCGCAAGGAGGGCAATGAGACACCTCGTTCCGTCTACGGGTCCAGCCCTACAACACCCCAGCTCAGCATCAGTCGCAGCGATTCCGAAGATGATGCTGTTGGCAGCTTTCTTGGGCCACGGCGCAAGCCGAGCCGGAAAAGGCGGCCTAGTGTACGCTCCATACCCGCACTCAGCACAACGCCGCCGTCTGGATCCGCAGATGGGGAGCCTGTATTATCTTTAGAGCATGCCATGAGAGTTACTGGGGTGTACAAGACACAGCAGGCCATGGCGGTTGGACGCGTCCCTGCTGCTGCCAAGGTCAACCACTATCATTACCTTTCCCAGTGCTATCTCGAGACACTGGACCGCGAATTACCGCAAAGAGAAGGCGGGAAAGCGCTTGTGGACCGTGTTGTGATTATACTGAATGAGTTTGCCTACGCTGCGGAAGGTGTTGGCCAATTTCGACTAGCACAAACGTGGCGCATATTGGGATACGCCATGGACCTTCTCCTCAGACGAAGAGCCCAGTACCATCTCGAGAGAAGGTTGGGTCATTTCCAGAAACGACCTTCAGTAACCAAGTCAAAAGATGGAGTCGTCAAAACCGCCGATCTCAAGGGTTTCCAGGGGCTGAGCCAGGACAGTATGAGAGCGCCAAATCCGCTTCGCCGCGCCAGTGCGGTGTCAGTCCAGTTGGAGAGCCGCTCCCTCTCTGTCAGATCCCTTCTTTCGGAAGAGATCGAAAGCACCTCCAACGTACCAACACCACTCGCAAGGCCGGTGCATGAAGACGATCCCAATACAGATCACGGCAACCTCAGGCCCGGCAAGAAGTTGACACCCGTCTTTGAACTAGACAGTTTCGCCTTACCCCCAGCAGTCCACAGTACGTTTAACTACAGTCCGCGCAAACGACTGGACTCAGCTCCTTTGTCACTTTTGAGCCACGAAAGCGACCAGACAGAGGCCTCGCATACTGAGGGGTACGACTTTTATGATACTGACGCACTCTCCCTTGCCGTAGATGTCCCAGAGCCAGAGAAGAAGGATGAAGCGCAATCACCCGGTGGTGGAGGTGGTGGATCTCGTTCGAAGAGACCTCCCAAAGTGATGAGGCACGACTCGGATGACAGCTTCTCGCAAATGTTCTCCATTTCAGATGGGAGTCGAAAGTCCGCCAATCTTTCCCTGCCAAAAGCAGGCGCCGCAAGCGAGATCAAAAAGTCCGAGTTTGAACCCGTGCAAGAGCACAACGATGAGCATGGCGAATACGAGAGCCGCATCCGAGGGAAAGAGATCGAAGAGTCACCCGAAGTCCACAACCTGTCCTCCATGCAGATGAGGCGAGGCTTGCTGCCGATGAGTAACTCCCCCGAAGAGGTTTTCATGATTTCACAGACAACCATTGGCGACGATGAAGACCCTTCAGAAGTCTCGGCGCGTCGGTCACAGTCAAATCGTATCGGATGCGCCTACCTTTGACGACGACGCCCCTCTTCATGTTGGCGTCGTCTCGGCGAGCCCGCCCCCAGGCACCCGACCGAATCGCAAATGCTAGACGTGTCTCCTGTCATCATCGAAAGTGACTACCTCCCCTGGTCCTGATGATCCCCCTTATCCGCAGAAGTTGGCGTCCGAACTCAACAACAAAGGCTACACCATTCCATCCCCGCCCCTCGACCCATATGGTCTCATCACGAGCACTCTCGATTTTGAACTCCGCACATCCAATCTTAACGCTGCGGCAATGATTCTACTTCTCAGGCCGTTGGTTCCGGAGGCACTCATCGACGCCCACCGCGCAGCCTCAATCCTGCGCGCATATCACGCTCGACTCGCGTCCATGCGGCACTTCGTCGAGGCCGCGCTTTTGCGAAACCTTTGTGTCAAGGGCTGGCCTGAGAGCCTCCCTGAATGGGGCGAGTCTTACACAGCAATCTTCGGCCCCGCCCAACAAGGCGTCAAGGCGGGCTTCCTGTGCCCTTCGTGCCGCAAACCACGTGAGATGGACCCGCGCCAGGGCTCTGG